ATAACAAATGCTGGTGAGGATGTGGAGAAAAGGGAACCCTCAAACACTGTTGGTGGGAATGTAAATTAGTGCAACCACTATGGAGAACATTTTAGAGGTTTCTTAAAAAACTAAAAATAGAGCTACGATATGATCCAGCAATCTCACTGCTGAGTATATACCCAAAAGAAGGGAAATCAGTGTATCAGAGAGATCTGCACGTCCGTGTTTGTTGCAGCACTGTTCACAAAGATTTGGAAGCAGCTGGGTGCAGCGGCTCATACCTGTAATCCCAACACTTTGGCAGGCCAAGAACCTAGGAGTCTTGAACCTAGGAGTTCAAAACCAGTTTGGGAGGGCCAGGTGCGATGACTCACGCCTGTAATCCCAGCACTTTGGCAGGCCAAGGCGGGCAGATCACTGGAGGTCAAGAGTTCAAGACCCACCTGGCCAACATGGGGAAACCCCATCCCTACCAAAAATACAAAAAATGAGCCAGGTGTCTTGACGGGCACTTGTAATCCCAGCTACTGGGGAGACTGAGGCAGGAGAATCGCTTGAACCTGGGAGGTGGAGGTTGCAATGAGCTGAGATGGCGCCACTGCACTCCAGCCTGGGTGACAGAGCGAGACTCCATCACAAAACAAACAAACAAACAAACAAAAAACAGCCTGGGCAACATAAGGAGACCTCATCTCTACAAAAATTAAAAAAAAAAAAAAAATTATCCACATGAGATGGTGCATACCTGTGGTCCCAGCTACTCAGAAGGCTGAGGTGGGAGGATTGCTTGAGCCTAAGAGGAAGATTTGGAAGCAACCTAAGTGTCCTTTAACAGATGAAGGATACAGAAAATGTGGTACTTATACACGAAGGAGCCATAAAAACGAATGAATCCTGTTATTTGCAACAATATGGATGAAACTGGAGGTCATTATGCTAAGTGAAATAAGCAAGGCACAGAAATACAAACGTCACATGTTCTCACTTATTTGTGGGATCTGAAAAATTTTTTTTTAATGAATTCATGGAGATAGAGGGTAGAAGGATGGTTATCAAAGGCTGGGAAAGGTAGTTGGGGGCTGTGGCAGGTGTGGATGGTTAATGGTTACAAAAAATAGTTAGAAAGAATAATAAGCCCTAGTATTTGATAGCACAACAAGGTGACTATAATCAATTATAATTTAATTGTACATTTTAAAATAACTAAGGGTATAATTAGATTGTAACACAAAGGGTAAATACTTGAGGGGATGGATACCCCATTTACTCTGATGTGTTATTATGCATTGCATGAGACGGGGTGTGGTGGCTCATGCCTGTAATCCCAGCACTTCGAGAGGCTGAGGCAGGAGAGCTCCTTCAGCTCAGGAGTTCAAGACCAGCCTGGTCAACATGGCGAAAACCATTCTCTTCTAAAAATACAAAAATTAGCCAGGCTTGGTGGCAGGCGCCTGTATTCACAGCTACTCGGGAGGCTGAGGCAGGAGAATCACTTGAACTGGGGAGGCGGAGGTTACAGTGAGCCAAGATTGCGCCACCGCATTCCAGCCTGGGTGACAGAGCAAGACTCCATCTCAGAAAATAATAATAACAGGCTGGGCGCGGTGGCTCATGCCTGTAATCCCAGCACTCTGGGAGGCCGAGGCGGGCGGATCACGAGGTCAGGAGATCGAGATC